TTTGTTAATATGGCCAATCATTATTACATTTTTATGATTTCTAAAAAAATTCATTTCATTATTCAATTAAAAAAAATTACATGAGTGTATTGTTATATGATCTAACGTCGTTTTTCAAACTAAATTTAAGGGGTTGCAATCAAGAAAAAATTGAGACTTAGCTGGAAAATTCAAAAAATACAAAAATTGTAAAATTTTATAAATTCAGTCCAAACTTAAAATTTTGTTTTTTTTTGTTATATTCGCTGCTTTATTTTTCTCTTAATGAATCAATGTTTTACTGTTTTCTAAAACGTTTCCCAAATTAAAAATTTTTTAATTGCAAAAAATTACAATTTTAGGGAATAACAAAACCATTTTTTTATCGATCTTTCTAAGTTATTTTTTTTTATCGATCTTATTTCTTACCAAATTGTACAGCAATCAAAAAAAATATTACCAGTTTTGTGCGTTATATAATTTTTTTAAAAGACTTAATTTGTTATAATATTCAGTGGATTCAAAATTTCCAATTTACTCCTTTAACAGAAGACCTTTAACAGTAGTGTTGGACCACCCTGTATAATGAAAACGTATAGTTTTCTAAGGAAAGCATTGTGAGAAAGCTATAATTATATTTTATGTAATTTTTAGCAAAATCAATATAAGATTTTTAAATTTTAGATTCGCGCATTTACGTTCACATGAATAGATAAATCGCAACAACCCATAATTATATATTATATGATTTTATTTACATAAATACATAATTGCAAATTTTTAACTTAATGCATAAAAGAAAAACCTGTAGGCATTGTCATATCAAAAGGCAAATTGTATAAAAAAGAAGTGTATGATTAACAAGTTTTACTGATTGTTATACATTTTTTTTCCTGTTTTGTTTTTTTTTTTAATTTAATCAAGTTATATTCGAGTGATCTAAAATCATTTGATTATATTGTCGATCGAAAATCATATATTTTTATAACTAATATAATAATGTAATAGCAAACTATACTTTTTAAATATTAAACTACAAGCCAATGAAATTTTTATGCCAACCAATCCTTTTTTAAATTATAATATCATTAATTTTGCTTTGAAATAAAATTCGCAAGCTTATTGAAACTGTAGTTATGTGTGTTAATTAACAGCGAGGTATATAATATGTATTCATTCTCTTCATTGTTTTTGTAATTGAATTTTATAGACCTCGATAGTTATCAGTATTTGAAACAACTACCATAATAGTGCAATTGAAGAAATTGTGTTTAAGAAATTGTTTTGAAAGAAAAAAACGGATTTCAAACCTGTTAAGGTTTATTAAATATTATTAATTTAACAGGTAAAAAATACCAAAAAATAAAAATGTAATAATGAAAATTAAAATTAAAACTTACCAATATCATACAGGGCATAAATAAATTATAAGCATTTCACTAATATTAGTTTAACTAATTAGTTTAATTAAATTCATAGAAAAGAATGTTCTATTCAGTTTCATACCCATCAAAATATCAATGTTTTAACCTTTTTAAGAAATAAGTTTATAGCACAAAAAGTTAAACAAAATATAATGCATTAATAATTTAATATGTAGTGGCAATAATAATTTTATTACAAATTTCAAATATTATGTGTACATTGGTACACATAACCTTCAACTTTATGTATCAAAACTATAAGACTTACGATTACAAAATTTTAGTTATTAGCGCCAATAATTTACCAGTTCTAATTTTATTAAAATTGTTTAAATAAAAGTCATAGCCGAAAAATAAAGCAACTTATGTTTTTTTCCACTTTGCCCTAATGCAAAATACATTTTGCGGGCGTTCTGTTTTTTTTCCTTATAAAATTCTAATTCTGCAATATGGAAGTTATTTTGTTTCAGATAAAAAAAAAGGCGTTTTTTTTTTTATTGTATAAATTATTTCAATTTTTTTTTTTATTTTTATATTTTTCATTTTTTTTAAATAAGTAATAATTGATATATTTAATATGTAAATACAATTTAATTTTTTTATTAGAATATTATTATAATTTTTTTTCCTATGTTTTTTTTCGCAATTTTTTCTTTTTTGTAGTTCAATTTTTTGTCTTTCATATAATCAAATATTTTAATTATTTTGCAAAGTATTTTTATTATAATTATTATTTTGCTATTTTTCGTTTCCTTTTTGTTATAATTTCCTTTTGTTTTAATAATTTCAATTTGAATTTTTAATTTGTTTAACTATATCAAAAATTTCTATTTTACTTTTATCAAAAACATGTTATGTATATTAAATCAAATTAGATATATTATAATGTAAAACGAAAAATTTTTTTTAATATTTTTGATTTAAGCGTTCATATTTATATTTTTTTAGCGAAATATATGCGTTAAAGTTATAAAAATACACACATATATGTATGTATATATACAAATATAATATATATTATTAATTAATATACAATATTTATCAATGTAATTTTGAAGAAGAAATAATAAAACTACTTAATAAAGGAATGAGATAAATTTTCACCATTAAATTTCTAAGTTTTGTTTAAATATTTTGTTGTTTCGGGCGTCAAAAGTTTTATAAAGTTTGTTATTTTAATATAATTTGCCACAAATCCTGTTGAATAATTTTAATTTATGTATTGTATTCAATTTAAATTGAATTAAATTTTTTTCTAGATATTATTCCAATAATGAGATATATTATTTGGAAATGTGCACTTACATATTATTAAATTTATAGAGTAAATAACTTATAATTTGTCCAATTTTTTCAAACTTCATATTTTCGCTTTTTAAATATAAAAAATCATGTCACAAAATCGATTATAAAAATTGTATGCTACTAAAATTAAAACAATCATGTCTTTCTTTTCAAAGGAAAACTTTTAACATATGTACATATTTTCTTTTAAATTACATTACAAATTTTCTTCAGAATTAATTATTTAAATCCAATTGCAAAAATTAGAAATTTTCCATTTTGTCATTTCATTAAGTTTTCAATTCATTTATGGTTTTAATTACAAAAGAATAACAAAACAAGAAAATATAAAAACTCAGTAATTATTACTTGTATGTTGTCAAAGATGTAACATGATAAGAATTTATACTTAAGATTGCGAGAAGTTTTAAAGCAAATTTTATAACACATATAAACGCAATAATCCTAATAAAAGAATTTTAAAAATTTCTTAATACACTAGAATATATATTTTTTTTATTAGTTTTTGGTTTCAAATGTTTGTTTTCTTAAATGGTGTTATATATTTTTTGTAAATAAGATAATTTTTATTTATACATATGTAATTTACCTCAACCTTCTATCAAAATTTATATTAATATAATTATTACAATTTGTAATTTTTTTTTCTTTTTTTTTTATTCACATGTTTAAGAATTGCAAAATAATATTTTATTATGTACATAAAGCATTTTAATCTTATTTATACAATTATTATTTAATTTTATGTTTTTTTTTGTATAACAACCAATCAATTATTATTTTCATTTATCGTCATTCATATCGTCATTTATTTCATCATACCATAATTTATAAAAACTGCTAAATGGAAGAATAATTTTATTATATATTATTTGATATACAATGTATAACATCTTTTACAATATTAAAAAACAAAAAAAGTAGATCGTATAAGACCTTATATACGGTATGCAGTAACATTTACTTGCTTTCACAACACTTTAATAGAACCGTAATCCGAGAAATAACGAATCTAATACATAATTATTTTTTAATACTTATGATATTTTATGCTTGAAGATATTTTATATAATAAATAAAATAAATTTATTTATTTATAAGTTAATGGTTGAAAGAATTTAATAAAGATAAAAATAAAATGTAATTTAAGGCAAATTTTATCAAAGATTTAAGAAATATGAAATGTAAATAAGAAATTTAATAAATAAATATATACATACATAAAGGAAAGAATTAAAAAACTAAATACGTGCTATCAAAATAGATCTAAGTAAATGCACATAAATTAATATCAATAACTATTATTTCCATTGAAATAACTGCCTTGCAATCGATTATATTGTGTGTTTTCTAGCTAGCTAATAAATACATATATGTATTTACTGCACTGTACAATGCCAAGTTTAAATAGAAAACTTGTTAAAACTTAAAGTTAAATAGAAATGTTCAAAATTAAATGCATCGAGAAAGTAATTATATTGGTTGTTTTTTGTTTTTAAATTTGAAACTAAAAATTTTTTTAAAATTAAGATTAAGTTAAAGTATATTAAATAAAATTTTACTCTACAAAATTTTCCTTTTCAAGTTTTCCTAATGATTTACTGTAATAATTTCAACCAATAAAAATAGTTCAATAAATCGAATAATGTTACTTGAATTAAATTTTAATGGGATGAGTTAATAAGGAATAATAAAAATGATCAACAGATTAAGATTGTTTCAAAAGTTGGTCTTAAGGACCTGAATTGAATATGAAAATTTAAAGACCCGATTTTAATTTGGCAACAAGCAGTATAAAATTTTATATTCATTAGTTATATTTAAAAACATAATTTAATATATTTTAATTGATGAGAAACGAATGACCTGTTTCAAAACGTAGTTAAGATAAGTTTTAGTTATATTTATTTGAAAACTAAAACAAAAAATTTAATTGATTACATAATTTATAATATATTTAAATATGTACATACACTTATAATTTTTTGCTTCAAAAATATAATTGGTATTGATACATATATTATATAATTGTGTATATTTATTGAATTTTGTAAAGTTTTTATATTCATATAAATCTAAATACATAACACATATGTATTCACTTTGATTTTTTAAATACAAAATTGAAAAATAATTAAAAGCACTACCTAATTTTTCTAAATTAAATTTATTATAATGTGTAATTAAGAAATAATATTTACAAAAAAATAATATACAAAATTAAATAATAATTTTCTTATAATTTGTTTACGATTATAAATCTTTTTGTGTCTCCTTTGTTTTTGTGTTGAAATGTTTTTAAATTAATATATTATGTACTATGTAATATTTTTCCTTATTTACTTATATTTTATTATTTGAATGAAGTAACTAATTTATATTTATTTTATATTTTTAAGATAAATGTACAATACTATATTTTTAAATTGTTTTTTTTTTTTTAATTTTTGCAAACTTTAAAAATAATGTACAATTAAAATATGGCGAACTTTTTTTTAATTACTTTTTTCGATTACTTTTAATTTTCGCAAAGCAAATTAAATAACAATAATTATTAACATTTCACTTTATTATAATTCGTAAAATTAAAGTTGAATTTACATTATGCAACTAAACGTGATGAACCAGTATTAGAAAAGCCTTACATATTCTTTGATTTAATCCAATTCAATAATCTTTCTCATATTTTCAGTAAATTTTATGAAATACTAAAGAGTTATTACTTAGGTAATTTTATAATAATTTATACACTAAATGTTTGTCACATATCTATGTCATTCTCAATAAATTATATTTATTTTAAGATTTTATTAAAAATATTTCAACTAATTTCAATTAGAAATTTATTTAACTTTATTTATTTGTTTTAGGTTTTTTGTTCAAATTTCCATTAAAAGATTTTAATAGTTTTTCATTGTTTTCATTATGAATATGTATAATTTTTCTTTAATTTAACAAATTACATTACATATAATTTGTTTTTATAATAATTAGTACCATTATGCAAAGGTAGATTTAAAAGATTTATTATTAATTACACCTTTAATTGTTGAATTTGTTTCTTTTTAATATCGTTTTTATTTTTCTTTAATTAATGTTTTCAAACACATTTTCATTATTCCTTCTATTCTAATATTAGTTCACTCCTGTGAAAAATTATTAATTATTTTTTCTTTTTGGTTTTATTACCGCTAATATTACTAGTATTGCCACCACCTACATCGGCTAAAGATCAAGCGGACGTTTCTTGTGGTTCAACCCATCCCTCACTATCGTCTTCACTTTCTGAGTCTTCCGATTCAGATAGTTCAATTGCTACACGCCTTGCCAAAATTGAAGCAACATCATGTAAACCAGTAGATCTTTCAATTTCTTTTTGTTCGGTTCTTTCGACTTTTCTCAAGGTTATTCCTACAAATTTGTAATAAAAAACTTATATTAATTTCATTTATTAGAAAAATTTAAGAAAAAAATAATTTTACCATCTCTTATGGCTTTCATTAGATCCGTTCGAGTATCATGGAATGGAGGTAATAATTTTTTCGGTCCCACAGTTACTTTACCACCTAAACCTTGTCCGGCCATAATTACACCATTAGCCGATGGATGATTTCCTGGTATATCGCCATTAGCCATCGGTTTTGGAGGAATAATTTGTTGACTTTGTTGTTGATTTTGTTGGGGACCCTCTAATAATGGTGGAGGGGGAGGTGGTGGTGGTGGAGCTGAATTTGGCGGCGTTATCTAAAATAATATATTTCGATTAAAAATAATTTTGATATAATAGATCATAGACTAATAACACAAAGTATTTTTTAATTCGTACCTGATCTGGTATTGGTGGAGGTGGTGGCAAATCATTAATATTATTTATTTGATTCATTTGCATATTAATATGGTTAAGATTATTGATTTGATTACTTAATTGTGCCATAACTAATGCATTAGCATCCTGCACACTACTACATGGTCCCAATTGCGGGGAACCAGATCTTGATGTACTATTTGCACGTCCTAATAATTTATTTGCTACAACATTACCTCCATTCATATTCAATTGTGGTGGTGGTGAATTTGGCGCCATATTACCTCCGTTATTTAATCCATCTGGTATAGGTGGAGGCGGTGGTAAATTATCTCTTCCAGTCGACATACTTCTGCCACGTGTTGGTGTGTTTGCGTTTGATGTATTCGGGGTACCACCATTGCTGCCATTTGATGGTGGAGCTGGTGGCGGTTGTGTAGGTCTGGGTTTTGTTCGTGATGGAGTGCCAGGCGCATATAAATTTTCTTGTGATATTGGACCTTGCCCACCTTGGCCATAAATAGATTGCGAATTATAAATTGATTCATCGTATAATTGTTGCTGTTGCTGTTGTTGTGTTAAATTCATTTGTTGTTGTTGCATTTGTTGCATATGCTGTTGTCCACCAACAGCATTTGGATGCATACCATAAATTGATTGATATCCAGTACCTGCATTTGCTGCTGCTTGTGGTGACAAAGGCCCATATCCGCCATCTACTGATTCGGCTGGATAGCTTCGTCGTAATTCGATTGAATTTGGTCGAGGAGGTCGTGTATCGTAAACACCCATACCTTCAAGATTTCATAATAAAAAAAAATGTTTAATTAGTAATGGAAAATTTAAATAATTTTTAGCAATTTAAGTTATATATGTATCAAAGCTAAGTTAGAATCAAAATACAATTACTCTTGTTATGAGCATCAAGGTCCAAATATATATAAATCATTCGTTTACATAATCGCAATACTCATATTTTGTTTTACATTTTTAAATACCATAACAAGAATTATTTAAATTATTAATTATATACTCAAAAAATTGAAAAAATAAAAAAAAACAAAAATAAATCTAAATAAAAATACGTTAATTATTCATAAAATGCAACTTAACTATGAATGGTGTGATTTTTAACTATAAAATTTTCATAAATAAGTATAAGTTTTTGAATAATTTTTATGTTAAATTCAAATTATAATATTATTTTTTATTTATGATTAAACTTTTTAATTATATTTAAAAATTAATGACCTTGGTTAAAGCAATAAAATATATTTTTCATGGATGATTAATAAAAAAAAGAGTTCATCTACATTACTTATATGTTAAAAAATCGAAATTTTACATTTTTACGGGAGGAAGTTCAGATACGATGTTAAATGAGTGAGAAAATAAATGATCATTGGACATTATCAAATACTTTTCTACATTTTTTTTTGGTTTTTAAGTGAAAATTATTAAAAGTACTTAAAAACAAAATACACATTATATTCAAAATTAAATGAGCCATTTAAGAAATTAATTAAGTATGATAAATTATTATTATAAGAGCCAAGAGCATGCTACTAAAAGTCTACAGCCTAGTTATTATTGATAAAAAATAGAGGAAAATTATTAAGGATTGAATTGAACTTATGTGTCGAAAACATATGAATAATATGAAAAGTTAATGACACCATTGATTGAATGTTGATTTTGACTGAAATATAATTTTTTTTATAATGAAGATTAGGTGAAAAAAAAGACATCCAAGAGACATAATGAACAGTTGTTTGAAATTTGAGAAGGAAATTGAATTAATGATTTGTACATCAAATTAAAGTCACGAACCCCATACAAATGGATCTAATTTTGATTACATAAGTACGAGTATTTATAAAAAAAAAATAAACCCTTTTAAATTAAAAATAAAATAAAATAGAACATATTTTGCAGTAGATAAAATAAAATTAATTTATATGTACTTATAAAAAATCATAGGAGTTTAGTAAATTTAAATAACCTGTGGCCCAAATAGTTATCCGTTTGTTTTTTTTTTTCTAAAAAATTCTTTTCAAGAATTATTCTGTAATTTTACTAACGCTACACAAAACACGCTGTTTTTTAGCTTATATTTTTTTAACAGACTTTATATTTAAGCAACTATTATATTTTATAATTAAAAAACATAAGAAAGAAAGCCTAAAAGCTTTATGTTTAATAAGAATCGTTGAAATATAACAAAAAAAACCGAAATACGAATAACAGTAAGTTTCGCGAAAATTTGACGTACAGATAATAATTTCAAAATATTTTACACATAAAAATATTGTAATTATATGTTTACTAATTAATCAACAAAAAAAAAGTGAATAAGAGAAGCAGACATGATATTATTGAAGTATTTATATAATTTGCAAAATTAATTTCTTTTTAGCATTGGTTGATATCATAAAATGTTGCATTCTAAAAGTGTTCGGCAATACGCTGCATCTTAAAAATTTATAACTATTTTATTTAATTATAAGTTGTAAAAATGCAAAAAAAGGGGGAACATTTTTTGGAAGTGTCTCTACTAATACAAAATATAAATTTAAGAATTGTGAATTTCATACGAATTTTATTTAAAAAAAAATTGCTCTTAATCAAATAAAAATGAAAAAACACACGGGATCTTATGAAAATTGAAATTAAAATAAAACAAAGGTGGTTGGTTCCCAGTGAATAAACTAAAGCTAAAAAAAATTTATTCTGTATCGCTATAACTAAGATGGCGAACCTCAAAATTGGAAAATGAAAAATTGACGCATAATATAAATTTATAATATAATCTCGTAATTTTTTTTTTCAAATTTTAAACTTAATAGGACAATTTTACAAATCGCCCTAAATTAATTTGTTGATTTAATTATAAAAAAGAATTTAAATTGCAAAAAACACAGTGCTTCCAAAATGTTTTTGATTGTAATATGATGTTTTATAGATTTTATATTTCTTCGCGAAAAATTAATCGCATTTAATTTTACATTTTTTATTCCAAAATTAATTTTAAATGCTTAAAATTATTATCGGTTTAAAAATTTTATATACAATCAATTTGTCAAAAATTATATTTAAATGGTAGTTCTAAAAGATACTATTTAAATACATACACGACATTGTAGATAAAGTACGATAATTGCTTACATATCAGATTGAAATTATATGATGACGCTCAGATTTTATTTTGTCGCTATATTATGCATTAGAGTTTTGTGATGTTGCTACTCAAAACTACCACGAAAAAATTAATTGCCGCAATTTTGCTATTAAAAAATCTGACTGTAAATCTGACAAGAATAGAATGTTTTCTATAATTTTCCATCAGACAAACTGGAATGGAGTCTGATATCAAACTGGATTTACATATACGACTTTACTTATACTCGTACATCAGACTCAGATGAAATCATAGATTTTACTGTATAAATAAATAGTAACTAATATTTTTGAATGACAGAATTTCCAAATAATACTTTTAACTGGCAAAATTTTAAAAATATTTTCTCATTTGTATTTTTATTTTTAAGATTTCAAATTTCAAAACAAATAAATTGAATAAATTGAGACTGAATAAAATTTAAAATCGTAGTTTCAATAGAAGTCTATAAAATAAGAAACGACTTTCAATAAGAATCGAAAAACTAACAAGGTTAACAATTTCAACTTAAATGAAATGTTCAATAAATTTAATTTTATTTAATTTTTAAATTGTATTTATAACATAGATTCGCCATCAATTTTTAAAATCAAAAAATTTTTGTTATTTTTTACAATAATACAAAAATATGTACACATTCTAATTCCTGTTTTAAAATTCATATAAAATATGTACATATGTACATTATATACTTAATTATCTATTAATCGAATATTAAATTACAGATTACATAATACAAAAAATATATCCTTAAAAAAATAAAATAATAAAAAAAAATGAAAAAATTATAAAAACAAAAAAACAAAAAACAAATTGGATTTGAAAAAACACTTTCAGGGAAATTTTTTTTCGTGTTTTCATTGTATACAATTTTCTTTTTGAAAAGGAAAACTACGTAACAAAAAATTTTACAAAAAAAAATATATATTTTTTTTTTTTTTGCACAACATCACAACATCTGACCTGAAATCATGGTTGCTGTTAACATTGCTAGCGTATGATTATTTTCCAAATGCGATAGCATATTATAAGGCCTTACATAGCCTAGAAAATAATAATATACAAAAGAAGAGAAAAAAAGATTTTCGAAAAACAATAATTTTTTTTTTTTGTTTTTTATATTTTTTGTATTGTTTCAAAAATAAGTATCATATTTTTTGTTTGTTTGATTTTTATCCTAAACCTAAACTATTACTTTTTTGGTATATGTAATTGTTATACACATATAACACATTTGTATAACACATTTGATTTTGATTTTTTTCCTTTTTTTTATTAAAATAAATGATTGTATAAAATAATATTATAACAGCAATAAAGTGGTAAAACACAACACAACACAATATATAAAAATATATAATAATGTCAATTATATTTAAAATTAATATACAAGTAAAAAAAAAAAAAACAAATTCAGAAAAAAACTATAGCAATAAAAAAAAGTTAAACATTACATAAAAAAATGTTTGTTTGTTTTTTCTTTTTGTTTTTCAGAAAAGCAGAGAAGAATTATTACAATTTTTAAGAAGAATAATAGTGAACTTTTTTTTTATTAGAAAAGAATTAAAACTCCAAAAAATAAATTTTTCAATTCCATGAGAACAATATTGTATGGAGGAGGATCATGATATGGGTAAGAATAATAGCTTAATCCAAGATTTTCAATTAGTAGGAAATTGAACAAACTGGTTAATTAGAATATGATTTTTCTGCTTTTTTCTTCAAATCTACCATATGCATACTTCAATTTATTTCAGTAACAAAAGAAGTAATTGAGAATACTTTTTATATACTTATATAAGATTTAAAATCATTTTTGTATGTGCTAAATAATTCAATAATGTTGTGTATGTAATTATTTATAATAATGTATTTGTGTATGAATGCATTTTATTATTGTATATGAATATTTAAATCAAAATGTTTAATGATATTTTAGAAACAAAAATTTTATGCTTCAGAAGATACTCTTATTGTAAATTTGTAAAAAAATTGTCAAATTTTTATTGACAAACATATTTATGTATTTATATATGTAAGTAAATGTATATAATATAAGTAGAGATCCTATAGTTTTTATAAAATAAATAGATTTTTTTTTCGAAATTTGAAATTATTAAAGATTCACGATAGATTTAATACTAATTAATAATATGTAGGTATTGATTTTTAAGTTTTACTTTTTATTTCGCAATAATTAGTAAAAGTAATTTTATTGAATCATAAAGTATCTAATAGACTCTTCAAGAAAATGTGTATTTTACTTTTTTTTTCATATTGGATTTTAGATACACACATGTGCAATTTAAAAATGTGTATATATTTGTATGTACATTACAAATATGACCAACGTATCAATTATTAGCAATAATAAAAAAATTTTTCACATTTTATACCAGAAATACACAGCATCCCTACAAAATTTAATAATTTTCAAGTAATATTCGGATAAAATTATTAAAAAAAAAAAATGAAAAATTAAAAAAAAAACATAAGGTGGATTATTCTATTTATAAATTTACATAGATATTATATATATATATATGTATATATATATATACATATGTATTAAAGTCAGTTCTCATAAATATTTAATCATTTTCGGTATTTTATTAGTTTAGTTTGTACGATGAGAAAGTAAAATTTGAAAAGTAAACAAAAATTTTAATTAAAATTTAAAGATGAAACAATTTGAAGATGAAGATTTGCTTTTTATTAAATTGTTTGTTTTCCAATAAAATTCAGAAAACAATTTTTTTTTATTTTAATCTGCACATAATAAAAATCTTGAAATTATTTTAGAATTTTGTGGCAATAAGATAAAAATATACATACATACATACGTACATTCCGAAATGCGAAAACTTACAGAATTTTATTATTTAAGTATTTTTTCTATGAAAAATTTCTTTATATCGCTTTCCTTTTCAAACAAAATTAAAATCAAATAAATTTTTTTTATATTTCTGTCTATGATTTGAAAATTTTTTTAATAATGTACTCAGTCGTAAATTTTTTATATCATTGGCGCTTAAATACATTCTATTAAAAAACTTATTTTTTTATTTCAATTTTTATGGTTAAAAAAGCAAAAATATTTACAATATTATATCCAAAATTTAGAGGTCTTGGGACATAAAACGTTTGTGAATGAACTACGTAGATTTGAAATTATGTAGGTATGAAATTTTTTAGAAAATTGGTATAGCGGTAATATTTAAATTTTAAAAAAGTAAAAGTAACTTTTAAAGTTTTTGTCTTACACATATTTATGGCAAATCAAATGTTTTTTACCATAAAAAATTTAAAATAATAGATTTTATGAATCATAACTTTCATCATATTATTAATTAAAAAAAAAGAACTTTTGTCAAATATAGGAGAACAATTATTGAAAAGTAATATTTATACTCGTATAGCACAATAATTAAAAGCAAATTTGGTTAAAAGTTGAAAATATAAAGAGAATCACAACTAATGCAATATTACTTATAAATTAATTATTAATTTGTCTAGAAAATTAAGAGTTCATTAGAATTCATTAAATAATTGGCAACATATATAAATTTATTTATAGCTCGCTAAAGTGTTATATTAAAATATTTTAAAAGTCTACACAAATATAAAAAAAAATCGATTACTTAACTTTCAAAATATTATAGTAAAATGGTTAAATCTATAATTAAGGAATTTAGATTCAACTCGAAATGCATATGCAATCCCAATATTATTGCTTTTTGGAATTCAAAGAGTGTAATATAGAAGGAGGTATACAATTTAAAAGAATATTGAGCAATACAAAAAGCTACAATTTTCATTTCATTTACATTACATTTTATATTAAAAAAAAAAACGTTTCTTTTTAGCTTATATTTTAGTTACATGTTATGTTTTTTTTTTACATAAATACTTTTTGAGTTTTAATTGAATATTGCTTAAATATATGCACAGTAATAAATACATATACATTGATAATGATCCGATTTCAAATGTTATGTGAAATTTTAATGTTGAAATAATATTGTAATTTACAAACATTTAAATTATTACATTACATGTACATATGTAAGTTTACATAAAATACATTTTTGTTTTATTTTTATTGTTCTTAATAAATTTAAAAAGCGTGAACCATTGATTTTGAATTAATAAAGTGTAAATATGTATGATATATATATATATATGATATTACATGTATATACTATGCATATTATAAATTTTAATTTTGTGTAATTATTAATATATATATATGTATGTATATGTATGCACATATGTATATGGGAGTACGAAATACAATGTAATAGTTTTTTTGATAATGATTGCAATATAAATTTATAATAACAATTAAAATTAAAAGCAGGACATTGCATTTATGTTTCGTTATTTTTTTTTTTTTCGGTATGAAATTTGAATAAGGAATTAAAAAGTGTTTTTTTTTTTCTTTTTAGCAACAACAAGGCTCTTCACTCTAGGCTACAATACAATCTCGTACCTACACGATAAATCTTTAATGCATGAAGAAACTAAAGAACGTGTTGTACTATCCAATTCGGGATGCAATAAGTCATCTTGAAGCGGACGAATTCTTGATGGTGACAATTCCAAAGTATTATGTTGAATTGGATAATAGTAGAAATAATTTGGTTGATCGCTGTGATAGCCTAATTTCATAGAATGAGTATTTTTTTTTTGTTTGCTTTTTTTTTTCTTGTCTTGAATTTTTTAATATTTCCAATTATTTCCTTTTTTTTTTGCAATTTATACATATTTTCTTTTTTTTTAACTAATTTAAAAAGCTTATATATTTTTTTCTTTTTAAATTAAAAATCTGTTGACATCAAGTAATTATAAAGTAAATCAAGAGGTAAATGAGACAAAAATAACAAAAATGCCGTATTTAATATGAAAAAGTTAATTTTCAACCACATGGGCTTAAAATATTGTACTATATTTGAGCAAACATCACAACACATTTGCGTCTATTAACATTAATGACGAATAAATTTTAAAATCGCTCTTAAATTGCTTATTAATTTGGATTGTATTGCTCAGTTTCAAATATCGAATCTGAGAGTTATTCAAGTAGGTCTACGCGATTATTTTTAACTGAAATAATAAATTAAATGAATCTAGAATCGCATTTTTCTAATGCGTATTTTCATTCATTTCATCTTCATGATAAAATGTCAACAGATTTTCTAAAAAAATAAAAATCTAAAAATAAAAATTTGCCATACAAAATAACTTCTGTTTTTTTCATTTTTATATTAAAAAAAAAAATAAAAAAAGCTATTTATATTTATATAAAATTATTAATATTTTTTAATTATAATAAATAAATTAAATATTTTTTTTTTCAACTTTCTTCCCTTTCTGGTTTTTTTTTTTAACTTCCACCACATTCATAATAACATCAATTATTATAGATATACTACATAATTTTCTAGTAATTATTGGAAATATTTTATACTTACTACCATAACCCGATTCATCAGTTGGCACAGCATTTGGTGTCCTATAAATCACATTATTAGGCATTAAAGTTTCACCATGTCCAATGGCGATTTGTCGTTGTTTTTCTCTTGTATTATGTGGGGTTCGTACACGTTTCTTATGTCCTCTACCACCAGCAGCATTACTACTTTGATTACCTTGTCCACTTTGATTACCGCCTGCGCTACCATCTCTAGGCCGATGCATTTTTTTACCATGCATAACACGTTCTGTATCCTTAAGCATTTCTTGTCTCCATAATTCAAAGAAATAATTTGGATCTGTATAAAATTTGAGACCATCTTTACCATCATCACGATATACATTTAATTTATCAAGTGGTGGTGGTTTATCGCATAATGCATATGTTTCTAACATTGGTGCTGGCATTGTTGCACGTGAAAATATTTGTTGATCAAATATATTAGCAGATTTAAAGGCTTTCTTTAATTGTATATCAGTTAATGGTACTTCTTCAACAGTACTATCTAATTGTGTTACTTTAATTGCTAAACGATCAATACGAGCTTGCAGTGAATTTGCACGATCAGCAATATTACCAACATCACGTCTTAATTCACCAAATATATCTTCAGCATGTTTAGATAATGATGACAATTGTCGAATAATATTTGTTAATGTTGTATTCGTTACTGTTTCTAATTCAGTTGGTTGTAATTCATCACGTTGATAAACAGAACGTGCTACATGCACTGGTTCTATTGAACGTTTCGGTAATGGCATTTTTAATTTAAATTATTTTGATTATATTCAAATATTTTCCTTTTACTATTTAGATTACAGGTTTTTTACTTTTGAAAATGTGTTTTTTCTTTTTGATAATTCTTTATTTTTCAAAGAATTATTATTTTTCTTCAATTCTTAGTTATTAATTTATTTAATTTAGTTTTGATTCGAATCTTTTGTAAATAAGTCATGGGAATTATTGCTCCATAATTCATTTATTATCAAAATGTAATAATGTTCCAATTTTGTGCTACGATGTAGCCTAAAAATAAAAAAGAAAATAATAGTTTTCAATTAGTTATAAAGTTTTATACAGCTTATTATTAGTTAAGAAATAATTCTGTTTAATAATTAAATTCACCTATTGTAAAAGCAAGTCTTTTGGAATTTTCGGGAACTAATACACAATTTATAGTCAATTAAATAATCCAATAAATATCATACGATAAATCAAGTGTTTATCCAAAATTATGTCATTTTTGGTATTCACAGTTTCGTAAATAGTATTATAGAAAGTAGAGCCACAGCAGAATAGTAGCATTTTTTAAAAATGGTCTTATTTTCTCTTTTTTTGAAGTAAATATTCTTCAATTACACTTTTCTTTTCTTTCTCAAAAGTTTCTTTTACAAATATATATAATACTTATTTGACTTGTTTGTCGAATCCTTTTTTTTGCAAATATATGTACAAGATCAAGTAAAAATTCAATTGTTGTTAATGAATATTGAATGTAAATTTTAAGCAGCAGTATAAACCTATAAATTCGATTTCAAATTAAAAATTGAAAAAAATTCATAAAATTCGAAAAATTTTACATTTTTTATTATGCATCATTACTCAAGAGGAACACATTTCTTGATGCCTGCGATATTTAAATTTAGAAATTATTCAATCTTCATCAATTTAATAATTATAAATTTATATTAATAAAATTAATAATAAAAATCAATAAATCAATTATTTCGCGAATTTCACTTTCCCCTTTGTTCTTAAACAAAAACAAAACCCTCTTCTTCTTTTACATAAATTTTTTTAAATAATTTTTACCAATTACACATTCATTATTAAATTATCATTGAATTTTTGAGAACATGACACCCACAAAACTTATTCCGAACAATTGAACAAACATCATGAGTACATGCAAATATTTCAAAAAAAAAAAAGAGAAGGAAAAAATTAGAACAACTACAGCATACTTTAAAAAATTTACTAAAGAAAAGAAATTGCTTTCAATCATATACCATCGTTTAGTGACTTTTAAAAAGTCCCTTCCGGCTTCATTTTAAAATTTGATATCCGGCGAAAGGGTATAAATTTTGTATGAACATGTTTTTTTTTAACATTAATATGTTGTATTGTTGTTGTATAACATATTTTAATATAGTGCACGTATAGGTATCGTATGTTATGTATACGTAAATTTTAGGTTTAAGAATTTTACGGTAAATAACTTTACACTTACATTGTATATGAGCTGGTAAGTAAAATATTTCACATGCGTTTTAAATTTTCTTAACGTTAATAATATTTTTATTATTGAAATTGAAAAAAAAATTTAAGGCGCTTTTTGAAAATTAATATTAGATTTTTTCAATTATTACAGTTTTTAGTGAGAATTTTATGTAAGTATGAATATAAAAGTAACTCATATTACGATATGTAGTACAATATGTTATTTAATATCCTATACTTACTTAGAGCTTAAAATATAAACGAAAAATAAATAAAATTTATTTTAACAAGGAAAATTAATATCGTAGAAGAAGACAGACTATTTTTACAAAATGTACTTTTAGCAGGAAAATTTCGAATTATGAGGCTAATATTTTTGATGTTGTGTGTTATCAAATAATCAAATCCCTGAATTACAATAGTATTATACAAAATTGATAAATGGTATAATAAAAAACATCAGGGTAGTTGACGATTTCAGAGATTTAACTGTTTTGGAATTATTTTTAATTAATGTTTTGAAATAAAGAGCTATGGTAAAGTGTCATAACTGTTGAATTTAATAATTCTTTTTTCGAATCTTAAACACTCAACTCTTACTGATTTTCTGTGGTAGAAAAACATTAATAATTTTATAATAAAATCTTATGTCTAATAGAGCTTTATTACATCTAATAGAGTTTAAATCCAAATAGCGTTAATTTTTAAAATATATTTATAGAACTAATAAATATATCAGGTATAAGTACGAGTAAATATATCACTATTTATATTTCGGGTCCTGGCAATACTAGTGCTGCCAGGTGCAATCTGACACTTCCATTGGAAAGTTTGACATTTTTTAGGACAACTTCACTCAGAACGTTTTGTCATTCGAGCGCGAATTGTTTTGTTTACAGTGACTTGAAAAATTCATCTCGGTCAAAAAATGGAATTGTCCCGTGAAAATTTTCGTGCGATGATTTTTTACGATTTTCGGCGCGGATTATCGAGACAAGAGTGTCTCGATCAACTTGTTTCGACTTTTGGTGATGAAGCACCATCAAAAACCACTGTAAATCGCTGGTACCAAGAGTTTGGTTTCGGACGCCGTTCGCTCCAGGATGAATTTCGTGAAGGTCGGCCAATTTCGGTCGTTTTGCCGGAAACCATCCATGCTGTGCGCGAAATGATAATGATGGACCGGCATGTGACATACTGTGAGATTGAGGCATCCTTGGGCATTAGTTCCACCAGCGTACATAAGATATTGCATGAACATCTTGCCGTGAAAAAGGTGTGTTGTCGATGGATCCCAAAAAATTTGACGATTGCACAAAAGAAGGCTCGTGTCGATTGGAGCAAAGAAATGTTGAAAAAATTCAATCGCGGTGCGTCAAAAGACGTTTATAAGATAGTCACAGGTGATGAATCATGGATCTATGCATATGAGCCCGAAACGAAACAGCAATCGACCGTATGGGTGTTCCAAGACGAGCCAAATCCAACAAAAGTTGTTCGTGGAAGAAGCACATCGAAGCAAATGATCGCGTTTTTTTTTGGTATAACCGGTCATGTGGCCACAGTACCTTTAGTGGAACGTAGGACGGTCAATTCTGAATGGTACACCACCATCTGTTTGCCGAAAGTTTTCGAAGAAATAAGGAAAACAAACAAGCGCCGGCGAATCATTCTTCATCATGACAATGCAAGCTCTCACAAATCAGCTGAAACAATGGACTATTTGAGCACTCAAAATGTCGAATTGATGGGTCATCCGCCGTACAGTCCTGATTTAGCACCCAATGACTTCTTCTTATTCCCTCACATCAAAAAAAAAATGCGTGGACAACGATTTTCAACACCTGAAGAAGCAGTCGATGCGTTCAAAAACCATGTTTTGGAGGTGTCTCCAAAATTGGAGAATATTTTGGAGGTTGTATTGATCTTCATGGGGAATATTTTGAAAAACAATAAAACCATTTCCAATGATAAATGTTTGTTTTTTATTGCTAGACCCGAAATATAAATAGTGACCCTCGTAATACCCATAGGTCAGAAAAGGTTTAATAACAAAAATTATAAATGTATAAACATCTGTCTAACTCTAAAAACTACTCTCAATTTCTCTCAATCATTTTCCTGTCAATTTATTTTAAACAATGATTATAACAAATTTTTGTCCGACAGGTAAAGTGTAAGTATCTATAAATTTTAAAAAGCTAACGTTGGAATGAAATTTAAATAAATATCTTTTTACTTGTATAACCGGTAATTCTCAATTCTTCTATTAATAAAAAAATTTTCATGAAAATTTTTTTCATAATAAAATGTTTTTACCTAACTATTAAAAATCAATTTCTTTTCATTAACAAAATATTGTTGCAATAGTTATTAAATTGTACGTACAGAAATCCATTATGTAATATTATATAATCTATAACAATTAAATATTTCATAATTTTTTATATAGAAAAAGTAAGAATTCCAAATTGTGGTCTACTTAAATGATAATTATATGGAATTGCAAATAACTTCCATATTTCACCTTCAGTACTTTGGCCCCTACCCTACCTATCTTTGGTTATCTATTCACATTGTATCAAATATCGAATTTCATCATGAACATTTTATTGACTGTGGTTAATTATTCCATATTAAATTTTAATAAAAAAAAAGGTTATTCAATTTCCGTTTAATTTAACTTGACTTCTCTTTAATTTTTGTTATGCATTCGTTTATTTTAAATTAAATTTTTGGTCTAGGTTTATTTTTAGATTTTCTGATCTCAAAATTTCTTTACAGAGTAGTAATTAGTAATATTGCTACTGTTTTTTAAAATATATATATGTGTATATGTACCTACATATGTATAGATACGTGTTTTATACGTTGTGGTAAAATGGTTAATTGTGGTTGGAATTTGAAATACGTATAATAGTCATCAAAAAATCATGGTTTATTTTTAATAAATAATATAGATACATGTAAATGTGTATTAATAAATGAAATGTAGAAGTGTTGGTTTTAAAATTTTAACAAAATTCTTTTAATGTTTTATGAATAACAAAAAAAATAAACTAACGTGACTTTAATTTTAATTTTATTACGATATGATTTCATATTTATTGTTTTGTTTGTTAAAATAAAAATAATTAAATAAAATTCTTTAAGGTATTTCATTTTCTGCATTTACATTATTTCTTTACTTATTTCTTATAGTACAACTCTTATTAACCTCCTCTACGTATGCTGGGTTTCAATAATACGCATGTTTATGCGAATGTTTTGAGATTCCGATTCCGAAGCAGACTTCAATGACAACTTGCTTCAATATATTTTACATAAAAGTAAAAAGTTATATGAAAATTTGTTAATTTTAATAGATATTACGACTTTAAAGAAAACGCTTACAATTTTCTGTTCAATAAATAAAAATTCTAATTAGAAAAAAAAATTGAATACAATTTTTGCTTCCTACTTTTCGGTTAATTCAGTTAATTTTTTATTAGGCTTATATTTGCTAATAAAATGTATGGTAAATAATGCTTGTAATTTTACATTTAAAAAAAATTCAATTTTTAAATTTAAAAATATATTTCAATTTTGAATTATCTTTTTTTGAATCATCTTCTAGTAGACCTAAAAACTTGCAACATACAGCAATTGATGAAAATTAATAAATATCATTCCAAAAACCCCATTCTATTTAAAATTTCGAAAACACATAACAATAGGAACTTCTTCAATATTACAACTTATACAATATTACTTTAGAAAAGTATTTAGTGTTAATTTTTCTCAAATTCGAAGATAAATTTCGCATA